CACCAGAACACAGACTGAACTACAGGAGGTAATAAATCAGAACCGGTTTGGATCCGTCTGGTCAGCTGGTTCAGTGATCAGATATGTTGAAGAAAACTCTGGGGACTGGCTGTGCTGTTCCTGAGGCCTGGTCTCGGCCTGCTGATGGCTTTGCCTTGTTTCTGAGGTCACATGACCATCGGTAACCATCATGTCTTAAAGCGACTGATTGACTCTGCCCCCAAAGACACTGAAAACGAACCGACATTTTAGCAACAGATGAGGATTATGGGAGAGATTTCTGCCACATTGTCAGTTTGAAAGCAGAACTTCATGTTTTTCTTCTCAAAACTTTTCTGCTTGGATCAATCTACACTAGCAAACCTCTCTGCTGGCTTACGAATCATTTTCTGCTCGCGCTTGGAACAGAAAAGTATCGTCACCTCTCAGCCAATAGAATGCAAGTGTTGTACTGGGTGCGTTTGTTTCCTTCTAGTGTGTGAGCCAGCGTTCCCTCCCTCTCCACCTCTGTTCTCCTGCCCGGCCAATGGGAGTCAGAATTTGAAGTAGAAATAGCGACTGGTGAGCATCGATTGATAGCTTTATTTGCAATGTGGACACAGAGTGAAATGGGTCTGCTCTGCTCTAGCTATTGGTGAAGGGTTGGTGTAATTAGGTAATAGCTGCTAACACCTGCTAGTAGCCGCTAACAGCTGCTAGTAGCCGCTAACAGCTGCTAATAGCTGCTAAGAGCTGCTAACAGCTGCTAGTAGCTGCTAATAGCTGCTAACAGCTGCTAGTAGCTGCTAACAGCTGCTAGTAGCTGCTAACAGCTGCTAGTAGCCTCTAACAGCTGCTAAGAGCTGCTAACAGCTGCTAGTAGCTGCTAATAGCTGCTAACAGCTGCTAACAGCTGCTAGTAGCTGCTAACAGCTGCTAGTAGCTGCTAACAGCTGCTAACAGCTGCTAGTAGCTGCTAACAGCTGCTAGTAGCTGCTAATAGCTGCTAACAGCTGCTAACAGCTGCTAGTAGCCGCTAACAGCTGCTAGTAGCGGCTTTTGCGGCTCGCTCATGACAGACAGGTTGCGGTCCGGCTGCAGAGCGGTGACGGTACTTTTCTGTTCCAAGCCCAAGCAGAAAATATTTTGCAAGTGAGCAGAGACGAGTTTTGAGTGAATATTTGGAGAGTAGAAGTTCAAGCATTATAATTTTAAATGAAAAATTCAGACTGACGATGTGTGCTCTCCAATTACGGCAGAAAAATGACCCCATAGATGATGTCCAGCCTTCCTCCCTCATGTTGTCTCCTGTTCTCACCTGTTGCAGGTAAAGAGGAGCTGCCATGTTGGCCTCCTCCTCAATCCTCCTCTTCCTCCTCCTCCTCCCTCCGGCTCACCCTGCAGACGCCTCCATGCAGTGGGTGAAGCTGGAAGGCTCCCCCCTCTCCCACCTGCTGCTGGATTCGAGGGCGGGGCAGCTGTTTGTGGGCGGAGTCGACCACCTGTACCAGCTGACGTCTGACCTGGAGGTGATGTCACACGTTAAAACCGGCCCTCTGCTGGACTCTCCAGACTGCCTGCCACCAATCGTTGCTCAGACTGCCCCTCGGCCACGCCCACTCACAACCACAACAAGCTGCTGCTTCTGGAGACAGGGGCGGAGCCAGGGAGGGGGCGGAGCCAGGAAGCCTGATTGTCTGTGGTTCACTGTTCCAAGGTATCTGTGAGAAACGGTGAGTCCCAGTCTGGTTCTGGTCCTGGTTCTGGTTCCACTCCGGTCAGAGTGAGCAGTTGAGTGCCCAGATCAGTGTGGTGACCTCTGACCCCAGCCTGGTCTCATGTCTCTGCAGGAGTTTGTCCAACATCTCTCAGCTCATCTACCAGACGTCCAACCCGTCGACACTCAGTACGTCGCGGCCAACGACCTCGGATTTCCACCGTCGCCGTGGTGATAACCACCCGGAGCAAACAGGAAGTGGGCATGGCCGGCGGCGAGCTGCGCCTCCTGCTGGTCGGTCGAGGCTACACTAGCCGAGGTCCTGGGGACATCCCACCAATCACCACGCGGCGCCTGCATCCGGTGGCTCCGCCCCGCAAAGCCTTCTCCCAGGAGGAGGAGCTCGGAAAACTCGTCGTGGGAAGTTACTCCGAATACAACAACCACTTTGTGAAGGCTGTCGCCCACGACAACCACGTCTACTTCCTGTTCTCGCGGCGGGACATGAGGCACACGAAGGAGTACAGGACCTACGCCTCGCGGCTCTGCGCCTCCGACCGCAGCTTCTACTCCTACGTGGAGGTGCCGCTGCTGTGCCGCGGCGGCTATAACCTGGCTCAGGGGGCGTGGCTAGGAGACCTGTCAGGTACACCAGCACTGTTTGTCGTCATGGCAGCAGGGCAGGCGTCCACGCCCATAGCAACGCGCCGCTCTGCACTCTGCGTTTATACGATGAAGGACCTGGACGCCACGATGCGGCGGCGCAGGAAGTGTGTGCTACACGAGGGTGGACTTGATGGAAGCGGGCAGGAAGAGGCCTACATCGAGTACGCCGTGTCATCCAAGTGTCTGAAACTCCCGAAGGTAATAGCGCTGCTCCCCCTGGTGGTGAGACTTGGAAATGTCTTTTATTACAGCCTTCATAAATCTGTTTCCCAAAAACTGACAGTGGGGATACTCATGCTAATAGCAGAGCTAATTTTCGCTTAGGGTTAGCTTCTGCTCTTATTTTGAAGTGGGTGAAGTTTGTTTGAGGCATTGTCGCTTCCTGTCAACCTGTTCTGTACCCAGAATGCATCTGTTATAGAGTGAATATTCTGCATGCTTTGACTGAGTTGAGCTAATTGTTAGCTCAACTCCGGAGCCTAATGCAGCAATTGATGTTTATCCTGTACCCACAATGCATTGCTGAACAGTAATCAGGTTAAAATCCAGCTATATCCTGCTGCTTTGTGATTGGAGCTCTGCTGGGGTCAGTGAGGCAAAATCAGCAGAAAAGGTAGCAAACAACTATAAAACCGAACCCATGAGTGAAGCATCTGTAATAAAGCATTGTGGGAAAAATGGCTCCTGGTCTTCAGCCAAAGACTAAAGAGAAATCACTAAACTCTGACGCCTCCATCTTGTCTCATCTGGTGAAACAGGAAGTTGCTCTCAGTGTCTTCAGAGGTTTTAGTGTCGTTTCCTGCAGTGGTTGTTGGTGCAGCGCCCCCACAGGCCAGGAGGGGAACAGGCTGGTTGGACTCAGAGCCACAGCTGGAGGTGGAGCAGATGTTCTGGTTCCACTAGAACCGGGTCGACCATCAGGAGGAAACAGCCTAAAGATCATTCAGCCTCTTCCTGCTGGTTCCTCCTGTGTTAGCTCCGCCCCTCATGTGTTAGCTTCGCCCCTCCTGTGTTAGCTCCGACCCCCCTGTGTTAGCTTCGCCCCTCCTGTGTTAGCTCCGCCCCTCATGTGTTAGCTCCGCCCTCATGTGTTAGCTCCGCCCCTCATGTGTTAGCTCCGCCCCTCCTGTGTTAGCTCGCCCTTCCTGTTTAGCTTCGCCCCTCCTGTGTTAGCTTCGCCCCTCATGTGTTAGCTCCGCCCCTCATGTGTTAGCTCCGCCTCTCATGTGTTAGCTCCGCCCCTCCTATGTTAGCTCCGCCCCTCCTATGTTAGCTTCGCCCCTCCTGTGTTAGCTTCGCCCCTCCTGTGTTAGCTCCGCCCTCCTGTGTTAGCTTCGCCCCTCATGTGTTAGCTCCGCCCCTCCTGTGTTAGCTCCGCCCCTCATGTGTTAGCTCCGCCTCTCATGTGTTAGCTCCGCCCCTCCTGTGTTAGCTCCGCCCCTCCTGTGTTAGCTTCGCCCCTCATGTGTTAGCTCCGCCCCTCATGTGTTAGCTCCGCCCCTCCTGTGTTAGCTTCGCCCCTCATGTGTTAGCTCCGCCCCTCCTGTGTTAGCTCCGCCCCTCCTGTGTTAGCTTCGCCCCTCATGTGTTAGCTCCGCCCCTCCTGTGTTAGCTCCGCCCCTCCTGTGTTAGCTCCGCCCCTCATGTGTTAGCTTCGCCCCTCCTGTGTTAGCTCCGCCCCTCCTGTGTTAGCTCCGCCCTCCTGTGTTAGCTCCGCCCCTCCTATGTTAGCTTCGCCCCTCCTGTGTTAGCTCCGCCCCTCCTGTGTTAGCTCCGCCCCCTGTCCCATGTGCCAGGATCTATCAGCCCTTCAGCCTCCTGCTGCTCTGCTGGGGTGAAACTGCAGACTCTGAGTCAAGCTGGTGGCCTGGGATCATCTGCAGCAGCTGCACGGATCATCAGACAGCTGCAGGCCAATCTGACCCAAATACCCCACTGTGTGTGTGTGTGTGTGTGTGTGTGTGTGTGTGTGTGTGTGTGTGTGTGTGTGTGTGTGTGTGTGTGTGTGTGTGTGTGTGTCTGCACATCGACATGTAAACATCATGTTGTGTCTTTCCTCTGAAGGAGTCTCTGTCTGACTACCCGTGTGGGGGAACACACCCCGAACCCCATCGCCAGCGCCGTTCCCCTGGGAGTCCCGCCCACCGTCACGCTGAACACCCAGCTGACCTCCGTTACCGCAGCAACAGAGGCCGGACACACCATTGCCTTCCTGGGAGATCGAGACGGACGTCTGCACAAGGTGAAACTCACACAGGGTGGCGCTGTAGACCGAAGTCACCCCATCAGGTGACCCCAGAGGTCATCATAAGGATCTCAGGTCTCCAGATGGGGAGGACTAGACGGAGGGCCAGTTGGGGGAACGGTGGTTCAGTGGGCTGCAGGTCAGGCGCTGGGAATCTGACCGTGTGAAATATGGAGCCGGACAGGAGGAACACCGTGCTCAGACGGCTGAAGTATGGTGGACGTTTCAGGTGTAGTGGATAGAACGATACTCACTGAACATGGACCAGTGGAACCAGTAGAACCAGCGGAACCAGCGGAACCAGTGGAACCAGTGGAACCAGCGGAACCAGTGGAACCAGCAGAACCAGTGGAACCAGCAGAACCAGTGGAACCAGCGGTTGAGTGGTTCTGGTGCTGGGGGATTCCTGGATCAGAACCACTCCTTGGGTTCCTCAGAGAGACGAGCTCAAAAGGTCCAACAACCTTATTGAATCATACAGTCTGACCAGAATCCTGAGAGCCGGTTCTGAAGGTCCAGAAAACCCGTGTTCATCCTTACACACACACACACACACGCAGACACACACACACACACACACACACACACACACACACACACACACACACACACACACACAGACACACAGACATAGATATCTGGGATCTCCATCTGGAGAGCAGCGCACCCTCTCTCTTACTTACTGCCCCCCTTGTCCAATCTTAGTGTGTGTCTGTGTGTGTGTGTGTGTGTGTGTGTGTGGTGAACAGGTGTTTAGCTTGGGGGCGGGCTCTCAGGCTTCAGTTGCTGATTGGTTATTGTTGTCCCAGGTGGATTGTGGGTAACGATGTAGCGGGTGTGTTAATGAGCGCTCAGCTTTGATTCGGCGTGTTAATATTTAATCACACACACTCTGCTGCTCGTTCCGTCGCTCAGACCTGCGCTGGATGCCGTTGTCATGCCAACCAGCATCGTCTTATGCGGTCCTGGATCTGGAACATGGGATCCAGCTGGTCCCGAATCCAGGTGGCTGTGACGTCACAAGAAACACAGAAAGGACAAGAGAAGAAGAAAACTTGATCGTTAGATTTTCTGTTCTGGTCAAACTTTGACTTTTGCAGATTAATTTCTGTCTCTTAAAGTTTTTGCAGCTCACCTGTGAGCAGCTAGAGGGTTCTGTTCAGGACTAAGGTCTCACCTGTCCTGCAGGTGTTGGTGCGCCCCGATAGGTCTGGCCATCTGTACGGCAACCTGTTGGTGGACGGGGGCGGAGCCATCGGTGCCGACCTCCTATTGGACGAAAGCCAACGCCATCTTTATGTTTTAACCGACGACCGGGTGAGAGACGCGTCCGTTCCTCTGTCCCTCTGCAGAGGGACAGCTCACCTGCTGTCCCCGTTTCCCTGTCAGTCCAGTCAGGACATCTATTCCTGTCTGTCCCAGGTGTCCAAGGTTCCCGTGTCGTCCTGCGAGAGACAGACAGACTGTCTTTCTTGTCTGTCCATCAGAGACCCGTACTGCGGCTGGTGTGTCCTGGAGGGACGGTAAGCCTCTCACCTGTCCATCGCGGTCCTCTAGCGCCATCTGATGGACATCAGGGGAACTGCAGACGTGTGTCCTCTGTCTCTGTGCTGTCCAGATGTTCCCGTAAATATGAATGTGAGCGCCACCTGCTGGACAACCACTGGTTGTGGAGTTTTGAACGGACCAATCAGTGCGTCACGGTGCAGAGCCTGCAGCCGGCCAATCAGAGCAGAGACGAGCAGACCCAGGTGGGAGCTGACTGAGCTGGGTTTCTGGTTCTGGTTCTGGTTCTGGTTCTGGTTCTTTACCTCGTCGTCGTTTTGTCTCCTAGGTAACCATGTCAGTCGTCCAGCTGCCTGTCCTCCAGGGGGCGGAGTCTCTGTCCTGCGTCTTCGGGAGCCTGCCTTCCCAGCCGGCCGTCATCATGGGAACAGAGCTCACCTGCCAGTCACCTGCGCCGGAGCTCCTCCCCCCCTGCCGCCCAGAAGCGGTGAGCGAAGGTCGCCTGCTGTTCCCCGATGCTCTGACCTGCGGCTGAATGACCTCTGACCCCACAGATCACATGGTCCTGCCCGTGTCTCTGATGTTTGGTCACGTGACCGTCGCCGTGGGAAACATGACCTTCTACGACTGCGGCGCCGTCAGCCGACTGAACCAGAGTTCCCAGTAAGAGTCCAGTAGCTGCCACAGCAGGAGAGGAAGAGGAGGATAGGGGTGATGAAGATGATGGTAGTGATGAAGATATATGATGATGATGATATAGCTTCATCACCTTCATCGTGATGATCGTGATGATGGTGATGATGGTGATGATGAAGGTGATAATGGTGATGATGATGATGAAGGTGATGATGATGGTGATGATGGTGATGATGATGATGAAGGTGATGATGAAGGTCTCTATCTCAGGTGTCTTTCCTGTGTCGGGTCTTTCTGGACGTGTAAACTGGTGTCCTCTGGATCAGATCTGTACCCACAACCACAGCTGCCCCACCAGGAAGCTCCTCAACCACAACGTGAGACACCTGACCGTCCACCTGACCGTCCACCTGACTGTCCACCTGTCCGTCCTCCTGTCCGTCCACCTGACTGTCCACCTGTCCGTCCACCTGACTGTCCACCCGTCCGTCCACCTGTCCGTCCACCTGACTGTCCCCTGTCCGTCCACCTGTCCGTCCACCTGACTGTCCACCTGACTGTCCCCTGACTGTCCACCTGACTGTCCACCTGTCCGTCCACCTGACTGTCCCCTGTCCGTCCACCTGACCGTCCACCTGTCCGTCCCCTGTCCGTCCACCTGTCCGTCCTCCTGTCCGTCCACCTGACTGTCCACCTGTCCGTCCACCTGACTGTCCACCTGACTGTCCACCTGTCCGTCCACTGACTATCCTCGTCTCTCCAGGACTCTCCTGGTCCCGGCTCCTGCCCTCTGGTCTCATCTCTGAGAGGTTCTGCCTTAGTGCCCATGGGCCTGAGCACCACGATAGTTCTGGAGGGGCGGAACCTGGACATCTACCAGGTGAGCCCGTTTAAAACCTTCAGGTCCGAACTGATCAGAACCCGCTCAGCTCCACAGCAGATCCGGACTCTAAGGTCCGGGTCAGGTTCTGTCAGGTCCAATCACCATGGAAACCAGACACTGATGTGATGGTTGATAACGGGTGTCTGCAAGCTAACACCGGTTAGCTTGCAGACGTTCCACAGGTGTGTCTCAGGCGAGTCTGAAGTGTCTCTTTGTCCCCCCGTCCATGACGAAGCTCAGTACGTTTGTGTTGTTGAAGTTGAGGACGTGCAGCTCAATCTGACAGCTGCTGTGAGGAAAACCGAGGACAACACACACATCTTTACCTGCAGCCCCCACCAGGTAACACACACACACCTGCAGATCCCCCACAGTTCAGGTTCCTGAAGCTGCGGTTGGTCCTCAGTTTCTCAACTGGTCCTCAACTGGTCCTCAGTTTCAGTTCCGCCTCAGCCAGCTGCAGTATTCTGCTGCCGTCTACCTGCTCAGAGGACAGCGACGCATTGATGCATCACCTGGACTCAGACGTAAAACTCACCTGTTGACCCAGTTCTGTAGAACCAGAACAGATTTTTACAGTTTCAGATGATCGGACCTGAAGGATGTTGGTCATTTTCTCTTCAGTCCACCTGTATGACTGCTCAGCTGGCCAATCAGATTGCTCGCAGTGCAGGCGGTGCCTGAGGAGTACAGCTGTGTGTGGTGTCTCGGAAGCCCCGCCCCCAGATGTGTTGACAGCCAATCGTGCTCCGGCTCACCCGCAGACACCTGTCCGACGCCTCGGATCACGCAGGTGAGTCCTTCCCCCGGGCGTGGGTCCGCAGAAGTCTTGTTGCCATGGAAACGTGTCACCGGTCTGTCTGCAGGTGTATCCGGTGACCGACCTGTGGAGGGTGGAATCCTGGTAACATCACAGGATCCAACCTGGGCACCAGGTACCAGACGTGGTGGGCGGAGTCAAGGTGGCAGACGTCCCCTGTGTGGCTCAGCCTGAAGGATACCAGATCTCCACCAGGTAAACTCACCTGACTGGACCTCGGTTTAACACCTGGCTGCTCCACCTGTCTTTACCTGCCTGCTCACCTGTGTTAGGGTCGTGTGTGAGCTGCAGAGCAGTGGAAATTACCGAGTCGGGAATGTCCAGGTTACCGTGGGAACCACTCCACCTGGCCGATCGACCCAGATGTTCACCTATCAGGTGAGACGGCAGGCGCGTTGCGGTTCTGTTCAGCTCTGCTGGTTCTGACTTCGGGCCCGCGGACCAAAGTTCTGCTGTTCTGGTTTCTCCTCAGAACCCGAAGCTGACCGGTCTGGTTCCAGATAAAGGCCCGGTTTCTGGGGAACCAAGCTGACCATCAAAGGCCAACAGCTGCTGACCGGACAAACCTCGGACCTGACCGCCTTCCTGGACCGGCAGCCCTGCTTCATGTGAGTTCTGACCCGGTTCTGCTGGGACTGATGGTACGTCCTGGTTCAGTTTGACACGTCTCCATTTTCTGTGTCCTCCCAGTTTGAATGAGGTGACTGATTCCCAGTTTGTGTGCAAGACCAGTTCTAGTAATCGGACCGGACCAGTTCCGGTTCGGGTCTTCTTTGGTAAAGCTAATCGGACCGGTCCTGATCTTACCTTTCGTTACCTGGACGATCCCGTCATCACCAAAGCTACACCTGCAGAGAGCTTCTACGCGTAAGGACGGGTTCCTGAGCCCAGAATAATTCTGCTACAAACAAACTGCTGCTTTCTATAAAATGCGTAACTTTAAAATATTGAGAGATTGTTGCTCAGTGAGTGTGTTCACTTCTCACTGGTAAGTTTTGAACCATCTTCCATTAAGCAGAGGGGGGAGCTAACATATCAAACATTATATTTATTGTCATTTTTCACTCAGCCACAATGTGCCAACAGATTTAACAGTTTGTAGTCCTTACACGTCAATTTAACTTCAGTAAATCTAACTTTCTGTGACATATAAGCATCAACCCAACGTATGGGGGAACCAACCTGAAATGCAGCAGCAGTTAGCTGCTAAACTAGCCTGCTAGTGCCAGAATGCTAACACAGTTTCTAAACTAGGAACCTGAGACAAAACCGAAATATAGCAAGACATAGAATTGTTGACTGCATAAACATTAATGTAAAATATTGTAACACTACGATGTTACAATAAATGAATCATCTTACATTACGGCTGAACCAACATTAAATACAAAAGCAGTTAGCCGCAACTAGCATGCTAGCGCCAGTTTGCTACCATGGTAGATTATTTCTTTCACTCTCAAAAACATAAAACATTAAACTGTTTGATGCAGAACCCTTGCATGAGAAAAGATATTGTTGGTGGATATTAGAAACCGGTAATTAAGTAAAAATAAGATGGAAAGTGTTTAATTGCTTTGTGTGTCTGTGCCAACTAGCAAAACAGGGCAAAAGTTGCACCCAACCGTCATAGGAGACATTGCCACCCTGTGGTATAACTCGGTAAAACACCTCAGTTTAGTAAAGTGTCGCCGCTTTTTAATTCTATTAATCAGACTATCAATAAAACAAAACAATGAGATCATATCTTAGTATCACGTCTCATTTGATCAATTTAAGTAATTCTGGATTCGTGTTAATGCGTATAAACAACATAATTTTGAAATTTAAAATACTAAAAATGTCTAATTGATCAAAAGTTTCTGTGCCGTTATAGGCCTGGGATCTCTGGCCTTACAGCTCTGCTTCCTAATAAGGACTTGACTTCCTGTTCTCAGGGGAGGGCGTGTCATCAAGGTGACGGGCAGGAACCTGGACGTGGTGCAGGACCCGGTGATATCTGTGTGGGTGGAGCCTCTGGAGGTGCAGAGAGTGAAACGAAGAAGGCGATTGGCTCTCCTGACCGCCAGGCAGCAGTTGGTCTTTAACAGCACCATGACGACAGTGAGAGGAACCAACCAATCAGGGAGGTGCACCCTACCTACCTGTTTTCACCTGTCTGCTCTCCTGTCTCAGGTGTCTGAGCGCTGCTCCGTCCTGTCGCCCTCTGAGATCACATGTCTGACCCCCGCGGTGCCCCCAGAGGTCAGAGTGAAGGGGGTGTGGTTTCAGCTAGACAACGTGCGGTCCACTACGACAGCATCGAGGTGCCGTCACCTGCCTGCTCCTCACCGCCGCATCAGACTCTGCCCAGTCTGACAATGTCTCTGTCTGTCTCTGTCCATCAGGGTAAGAGCTTCACCTATTACCAGAACCCCCAGTTGTTTCCTCTGAACCGAGACGCTCCGGACGCTCCGTACCGCTTCAAACCCGGCGGAGTGATCGCTGTAGAGGTACAGTGACTCTCATTGGCTGCTCCAGTGGACACAGCATGTGGTCTGACGTCTTGGCGTCCCTCAGGGTCTGGACCTGACCAGAGCCATGTCCAAGGATGAAGTCCGGGCTCGGCTT